AGCTAACAATGAAGTTGACTTGAACAAACTCTGCCATGGCGGCCTATCAGTAGGCTCTTGAAGCACCTTGTGGCCCTCTGGGCAGGAGGTGCAGTGAGTGTTAGAGGGAAGGTACGCTGGCTTTATCGGGATCCTTCTTAGTCGTCTTCCTTACCTGTTTACCTTCACTTTCTCCATAGAGAAATGTTAAGCCTTCGTGATGCAGTTGCTCAGAGTTACGGTTGTTGGTTTTTGTTTTTTTGTTTGTTTGTTTTGGGTTTTCGAGACAGGGTTTTTCTGTTGACAGGCTGGCCTTGAACTCAGAAAGATCTGCCTGTTTCAGCCTCCCTAGATTAATGGCATGCACCACCACTGCCTTGTAAGTTAGGTATTTTTTAAACAATTTACATGATCTATGTAAATCAGACTTAAATAGAAGTCTAAAACCAGACTTTTTGGTGAACATGCAGTGAGCTGCACTGTCCTACTTACAGTCAACCCCATGAAGTAAAGAGTGTTGTAGTTCCTGGTTGGGAAATGGTGAGACTGAAGCAGAGCGAAGTCTAGTGCCAGAAGCTTGCTGTGGTTTTGTGGGATGCTACGGCTTGCTTAGAGCTACACCTGCAGATACGAAGGCTGAAAACTCACCGTATCAGAAGAGTCAGTCTTGCCCCACCCTTTAAATTTCATCTACTGGGAGCTGGAGAGATGGTTCATGCATTAAAAGCACTGGCTGTTCTTTAGAAGATCTGGTTTCAATTCCCAGCACCTACTTGGCCCCTCACAACTGTCTGTAACTCCAGTTCTAGGGGATCTGATAGCCTCACACCAATTCACATAAATAAATTTTTAAAAAGTTACATTTACTGTGGGGATGGGGGGGAGTGTATAGAGGTCAGAGTACAGCATTCAGGGGTTGATTCTCTCTTACATGTGGATCCAGGGGGTCAAACTCAGTTTGTCTGGTGTGGCAGTAAGCACATTTAATCAGTCATCAGCCCTGGGTTCTTGTTTTTCCTTTACTTACTTACCAATTTGGTCCCCTGTGGAGGGACAGGGAGAGCAATCAAGATAGTTGAAGGTTTACAGGATAGCTAGTTTATAGGAGGGTAAAACAGAGTAGTTCAGTATCTAGTGTCTAATGTGTATCTAAATAGCTTTGGTGCCGGGCGGTGGTGGCACCTGGGAGGCAGAGGCAGGCGGATCTCTGTGAGTTCGAGACCAGCCTGGTCTACAAGAGCTAGTTCCAGGACAGGCTCCAAAACCACAGAGAAACCTGTCTCAAAAAAGCAATAAATAAATAAATAAATAAATAAATAAATAAATAAATAAATAAATAGCGTTTGTCGTTCATGTTAGATTGTGTACCTTGAGGCAGCTCCTGTAGTTTTCAGCTGTGATACTTTCTGTCTGGAATAGATTTAGAGGCTTCTGCATATTTATTTCGTTTGTACTGATTTACTATATGTATTGAAATAAAAATTACAGGTTTTTTTTTCAGTGATGGGTAGGACCTTTTACATGTTATGAAAACATTCTATCACTGAGCTGTTCCCAGTGCTTGTTGGTTTTGTGTGTATGCGTGCACGTTTTGAAGGCATGACCACTATTAGATAATAACCTTTTGTTTTAGGACGAGAATAAGAAGGGTCCCTGGAACGGAAACGGGATTTAATAAGACAGGCTAGACTTTATCCTGCCAAGCTAAAGGTGGTCATGGTGAAACTATGCAGTAAATTTGGGAGTTTTTGTTGTGCATGTGTGTGCTTGTGTGTGTTTGTATGAGTCCTGATCAACTCAGCAAGTGCTTTGTCACGGAACTGTGAAAGGGGCGCTGCCGCACTCCCGCCCTGTTTCTCCTTCCTTCTGTGCTGGGCTGAGTTGTGTTCTCTCAGCTCCTGCTTTTTGTTTTGTAACTTGGGATGGCTCTAGCGGAGGAAGCTACCCCTGTCACTTCAACCAAACTAGCAATATGTGCATAACAAATTTTGATAGGTTCTGTTAATATTTGGAGTTCCGTTAATATTTGGAGTTCCTGCTGCCTTAAAGGTAGGCCATAAAATGAGGTGCAGAGTCAAAGGATTTTGGTTGTAACTAAAACATGAGCATTTTTTTTCTTTTATACATGCAGTCTGAGCAGATTCCCCAATGCCCCGGAAGGCACTGCCATTTAATATTGTGTGAATAATCCCTCAACTGTTTCACAGTTGAGTGTTTCTATTACTAGGAATCTGTTTCTAAGTTTCTGTATGAACTAGAGTTTATGATGAGATAGACCAAATGATTTTCTCTTTAAGATTATGCTTCATTAGGTAAATTTATCCTGAGAAGTCTTGAGATTACAGAGGTGTGCCATCATGCCTGATTTGTTGACTTTTGTAATAGTCTGTTATGTGTCAGATATATCACAGTGAATTTTGGAGCAATTTGGACCCCCCATATACACTGGAATGATGCTTATTTTTGTAGTGTCTGAGATTGACTTCACTTGTGCTAGGCAAGTGTTCTAATACTGAACTATATCTCCAGTCCAATATTTCTTTTTTCCCCATGGCAAAAAAAAACATAAAGCACTGCATCTTTAAAAACAAAAATCCAAGACCATGATGGGAATACCCACTGAAACAGCTTACCTTGAACTAATGGGAGCTCAGCGACTCCAGCATGACAACGGGGGAACTGGCATAGGACCAGACTAGGCCCTCTGAATGTGGGTGACAGTTGCTTGGCTGGGGCAGACTGTGGGCCACTGGCAGTGAGACTAGGATTTATCCCTACTGCTTGTACTGGCTTTTTGGAACCCATTCTCTTTATAGGGATACCTTGCTCAGTCTAAATATGGGGGGGGGGTGTTGGTCCTGCCTCAAAGCAATGTGCTAGACTTTGTTGACTTCCCATGGGAAGCCTTACCCTCTCTCAGAAGTGGATGGTGGGTGGGGTGTGATGGTAGCTGGAGGAGGGGAGGAAGTGGGAACTGGGATTGGTATGTAAAATGAGAAAAGATTTTTTTTTTAATTAAAAAAATTCTAACACATTGCTCAATGCAGAGGAGGTCTGGTGCTGTATAAAACATCCAATTTTTTTTTTTTTTAATGTATATGTCAGGGCTAGGCACAGTGGCACACACCTTTAATGCTAGCACTTGGGAGTCAAAAGCAGGTGGATTTCTTTGGTGAATTTCAGGCCAGTCAGGGCTGCATAGTGAGACCCTGTCTCAAAAAGAAAAAGGGAGAAAAAAGAACCTTGGGGGAGCACTTTATCTCTATTTCTACTCCCATTCTCCCCAATTTGTACAACTCTAGAGCAGAGCTACATTTCCTTCCATCCAAGACCTGCTTCCCCTTACATTTTACCTTTTCCAAAAGGAAATATGGCATATACTTTAAGTATATACATTACTACTTTTTAAAAAGAAAAGTTGGACATTCGTATTACTTTGTGTCTGTGTGTGATGTGTGTGACCATGGTGTGTCACAGCATGACACAGCATTGTGTGGAGCCAGAGGACAGCGCTGAGAACGCGAGTCAGCGCCGTTTTCACTGGGAATGGATCTGCTTTAGTATCAGCCATCTCGTGGACCCCTCTTACTAACAGTACAAAAATTGCTTTAATTAGCATATTTCACTTAAAGTTTGAAATAGACTGGGCGTGGTGGCACAGGCTTTTAATCCTAGCACTCCACTAGGAGAGGCAGGCAGATCTCTGAGTTCAAGGCCAGCCTGATCTAGAGTGAGTCCAGGGCTGCACAGGGAAACCCTCGCCCCCCCCCCCTTTTTTTTAATTGAAATAGGTAGTGAAATAAACAAACAGATATATATGGAAGTTTTAACTGATGTAACACATGCAATCCCAGTATTTGGGATACAAGGATTGAAGGTTTCACTTGCATAGTGAGACTGTATTTCACAACAGTGTATATTTTAGTGTTTTAAACTGGAAGTTACTTATAAGTCAAGGAAAAACTAAGTATTTGATATCCTCATTCTTGCTTTTTGGGTTTTTTGTTGTTGTTATTGTTGTTTTTTCGAGACAGGGTTTCTCTGTAGCTTTGGTGCCTGTCCCGTAACTAGCTCTTGTAGACCAGGCTGGCCTTGAACTCCTCATTCTTACACAAACTGTCTTAACTTTTCTTCATAAGACTAAGTGTTTTACATGCAAATATGTCTATGCACCACATTTGTGCCTGGGCCCTCAGTTCAAAGGAGGGCGCAACATCCCCTGGAGCTGGAGTTACAGCTGTAAGCTGTCATGAGGGTGCTAGGATTGAACCTGGTCCTGTGAAAGAGCAGCCAGTGGTCTTAGCTGCTGAGCCCTCTCCAACCCCTATCTTTGTGTATCAACTGAAAGCTCCAGAAGGAGGCAGTCAGTACCTTCTGGAACATGTCAAGGAGCAAACTGGGAAAGAGTTCTGTCATTGTGCTCTCACAGTTTTTCCTCAGAGGGTCTGGTTACATGAGTATTGCCCCTTTCTGACTAGCAACCCCCTGGGTATTTAAGGCCCCCTCTCCCTATTGCTGATTGAAATTGGAAGCAAGAGGTAGTATAGCTTCTACCGTGAGTGCTGAGAAACCTGGCTGTGGAGGTTGCAAGTGCTCTCTGGGGACATCATTAGGAGTGTTAATGGACGCCTTAAAGACACTTTCCAGTTGCTGGATGGTACCGTCCTGTAAGTGTGCTCTCTGGAGAATGCATCATCATGGTTGTGGAAGACTGTTTGGCCTTGCAACAGCCTGCAATAGTTGCACCATCTAGACCAAGCGGGCGCAGAAACCAGTGACTGGAGAGGAGAGCAGCAGTTCCGGTAGGGTCTGCACTTCTCATCAGATCTGTGCTCAAACTGAACTGACAAGAGTCAGGGTAAGTAGGGGTGAGGAAGGAGGCGGCCTGAGAAGGCCAGCCTATACCCAAACTGCATCTTTGTGACTTTAGGATTGTAACTTTGATTGCAGGCTAATGGTTGTTTGCCCACCCCCTTTAGTAGATTGGGAATAGAGTGGGCATTGTGTGTTTAGTAAGACTGGTGTGTGTGTGTGTGTGTGTGTGTGTGTGTGTGTGTGTGTGTGTGTGTATTTAGGAAAGCTGACCGCTCTTGATCAGATCTTAGTTCTTAGACTAGATTGTGTTTATTTGGGATTGCACGTGAGATAGAAGAAACTGGATATGGTTTGGTTTCCTTGGGTTTTGTGTTTGCTTTAAATTTCTGTGGCGGGAGGAGTTGCACTGCCCGCATATTAGGCTCGTGAGGGTCACAGTGGAAAGGGGGTGGTACATGTCCTGCTTTGGTTCCAAAATGCTGTCTGACATTTTGGAACTGTTGGGAAAATCTGAATAAGGTCTGTATCATAAAATCCACTCTTTTTGATGAGTGTTTTCCAGATAAACACACTTAAGTATTAGAGCGTTGTCTACACAGTTTAAAAAAAAGGTTTTAAATCTTTATATTAAATATTGTTATATGTGGAGGAGGGAAAAGGCAGATACTAATATTTAAGAAATCTAAGAGGAGAATATCAAGTGGGTTGGTGAGACGGCTCAGTGGGTAATATGCTTCCCATGAAAACGTTAAGGCCCCGAACCTCAGAACCCACGTAAAAGCCAGGCCCACTGGCTCCCATATTTGATCCCAGTGCCCTACAGGGAGATAGGAGGCAGAAACAATAGAATCCCTAGCAGCTCACAAGCCAGCTAGCCTGACACGCACAGTAATGAATAACTATTGACTGTCTCAAGTGGAAGGTGAGGACCAAGACCCAAGCACATCCTCTGACCTCAGCATGCATGCTGTGGCAAGCACATATCCACAATTGAGAGAGCACACATACACGTATACATTCAGATTTTGAAAAGAATATAGAAGGCCAGGTGGTGGTGGCGCACACCTTTAATCCCAGCACTCGGGAGGCAGAGGCAGGTGGATCTCTGAGAGTTTGAGGCCAGCCTGGTCTACAGAATGAGTTCCAGGACAGGCTCCAAAGCTACTGAGAAACCCTGTCTTGGAACAAAGAAAAAAAATACAGAGGGAATATTTATACGATTACAGTCTTTATATAGGAAGGCTTCCGTGGGAGCCTAAGCATGGTGGCACATGCCTTTAATCCCAGCACTTGGGAGGCAGAGACAGGCGGATCTCTTAAATTCGAGGCCAGCTAGCCTGGTTTGTATAATGAGATCCGGTCTAGTCAGAGCCTCTAGTAAGTCCAAATCTTAGAAAAATGATTCGGAGGGAGCTGGAGAGGTGACTCAGCAATTAAAAGCACTTAAGAGCAGCTCTTAAAGAGGATCTGTTTGGTTCCCAGCACCCATATCAGGTGACTCACAATTTCCTACAACTACAGTTCCAGGTAATCAGATCTCCTCTTGTGGCCTCCTTGGGCTACATGCATGTGATGCTCAGATGTACATGCACACACACACACACACCCATAAAGTAAAGCAGTAACAGTTTTAAAGTTCTAATAGTATAAAAAACAAAATTCTTGTGTACTTTATGTTCATGGAGATAAATTTTTAAAATTGTGACTTTCCATTGAGTTTTTCATCTGTGTTACTGTAAATTGCTCTAGAACAAGGATTGACTCCATTCCTGGGTGGTGCCACACTTTCTCCCTAGCAGATTGCTGTGGAAAGGAATAAATAAATGGCTTTTTTTTTTAATCTTTGAGGTAGTTTTTTCTTTCTTTTGATTTTTTGAGACAGGCTTTCTCTTAGCTTTGGAGCCTGTCCTGGAACTAGCTCTTGTAGACCAGGCTGGCCTCAAACTCACAGAGATCCACCTGCCTCTGCCACCTGAGTGCTGAGAATAAAGACATGCCGCCACCACCACCCGGCTGAGGTACTTTTTATGAGAGAATTGATTAGTAACTTGAAGCAGTGACATAATTGTTCCAAGGTAGATGAAGCCCTTGCTATGCAAACCTTGAGTTCAACCCCAGTGCTGAGGACCATCTGTGGAAGGTGAGAACTAACTCCTCCACATAACAGTTGTCTTATCCACACGTTCAATACAGACAAACAAAACTCGATGAGTTCTTTGAATTCTTCTGTAAACTATCTTTTGGTAGGGGAGGGGTGTTCAAAGTAGGGTTTCTCTGTAGCTTTGGAACTTGTTCTGTAAACCAGGTGGCCTCAAACTCATAGGCCTGCCTCTGCCTCCCAAGTGCTGGAATTATAAAGGCGTGCACCGCCATTGCCCAGTGTAAACTATCTTTTCAAAGATAAATCTGCCCTTTAAAAATTGTAAGTACTGCCAGGCAGTGGTAGCGCACACCTTTAATCCCAGCACTCAGACAGAGGCAGGCGGATCTCTGTGAGTTCAAGACCAGCCTGGTCTAAAAGAGCTAGTTCCAGGACAGGCTCCAAAGCTACAGAGAAACCCTGTCTCAAAAAAACCAAAATAAATAAATAAAATAAAAAATTGTAAGTATTCTTTAAAATAATTGAAATCAAATGATAGTAGTTTTGGAGAGAAGAGGAGATGGTTTTATGTCTTTTGTCTTTTTTAAAGGAGTTGATGGGGACTTTCAATTTTCCAAAGCTTGTATACTGCCCCCCCTTTTTTTTAAATATACCTGTGCTCTTAAGTGTCCCGGTGTCTATAAAATAATCTTTTCTTACTTCTTAGCAGGTGTGCTGAGCAGACTTCGGAACCATGAACATATTTGATCGGAAGATCAACTTTGATGCCCTTTTAAAATTTTCCCATATGTAAGTGATCCAACCTTGACCATTGTCCTTTGCTGCATTTCTTGTCACACCTAGTTTCTTTTCTTAGTTGGATAACTTTTATAGGTGACAGTAAACAGATTGGCTAGATTGTGAAGCCTAGCAGAAGCAGCCAAATCAGGGCTACTGTGTAGTCACCGCGACCCATCTGTTCCAGTTGGGCAATGATTGCGCATGTTTGGGATTTGGGTTCTTCTCTAGCAGGTTCTCTTAACCCATTTTCCAAACATTCTTTTTTATTATAGTATGTTCTTCCCAAAGTATCTCAGACTGTTCATAACTTTTTACAGAGAAATGATTTGTAGCTTAGAGATACGTCCAGACATGATGTGCTGTGAACACTCTTTTCTAGAACTCCCTCGACACAGCAGCACCTAAAGAAGGTCTATGCCAGCTTTGCACTCTGTATGTTTGTGGCGGCGGCAGGGGCCTATGTCCATGTGGTCACACATTTCATTCAGGTAAGAACACGTTTCTCTGGGGTCAGTGGCACAGACTCCATTAGGAAGAAAACACTTAACAGGGTAACCTATTTCTGTGCGCTTTCTAATATTCTCATCAGTAGTTTGATATCAGAACTCAGCCAGACATCATTAAACCATTAGCGTTTTCTGGCAGCTGTTCCTCTCTTGGAAACTGAACACAGGAATCTCTTCTGCTGGGTACATGGCCCTAAAGGTATTCAGCTGATGCTGTCTGACATACAAGACCCCGTCCTCAAACGTGAGCCAGGTGCTGGCACTCATGGCATGGTGCCTGTCCCACCTTTTCTTCTTTGTTGCCTCATTGACTGTGGAATGCTTAGAGCAAAATACCAGTTATATAATTAATTGTCAGATTAGGCAGGGTTGGGATGTGTACAGATTTGACCCATTTCATTATGTTCATGCCTGGGAGAAGCCCCCAGCAACTTATTGGTCTTGGGAGGAAAGTTTGGGTTTGACTGACAGAAGTAGAAGGTTCATTTTTTATTTTTATTTAAAGAATAACCAAAAAGTTTGAAGTTTCCCTAGTCGCCAAACTCCAGAGTGGCTGTTTTTAACATAAACATAGAGGTGTATTTGTGTTGACATTTGCCACTGTGATTAACTGTCCTTTTGTTCAGGCCTCTCCTCCCAAGAGTTGTATGAAAAATTTGCTTTTGGCACTCAGAAGGGCAAGACTGATCTTTGAGTTCAAAGCAGGTTCTGGGTCTTTTTTTCTGGTTTTGTGTTATTTTTGCATTTTTGTTGTTTGTTTGAAATAATGTAAAATGCACTTAGTTCTTAATGCAAACTGACCTTTTGCATTTGGGGATTCAACTACTCAACAATCACTGTTTAGTACTTTTTGTAAGCATGTAAATAATGGAAACTTAGATTCATCTTTTACGACATGCTTGCCCCATGGAAGTTAGGATCCTGCTTCACTGACGTGTTACTTCCTCAGGCCCAATGCCACCTTTGTGCTTTTTTGTGTGCCAGGGATTGAACCCAGATTCATACATGCTTCTTACCACTGAGCCTGGTTTATACTTTTAGCTAGGCTTTTACGTAGATCTGGCTGGACGTTCTGCCTGTGCTGCATTGCAGTTAAAGGCATACACCATTGCAGCCTACCCTGTTCTGTGTTTTTGTTCCTGATTTTGTCAAAAACGGCATGGTGCTTAAGTACTGTCTTAATACGGTGGTTGATTTACTTTAGAGAGAAAATGTGCTTGTCTTAGCGGCTCTGTGAGTCAACAGTGTGTGTCAGATAAGTGCCTTAAAAAGCAGCACATAAAGTAAGGTTGTGTGTTCTTCATTTTGTGAAAATGTGACCAGAGAGGTGCAGAAACCTCTCTATGTCCCCCTAGGAACACTCAGTAATTCCGCATCCAGTTCATAACTGTGTAACCTTTTAACTGCTCTCAGTGGTAAGAATGGAACTGTACCTTTCTTTAACGACAGGAACTTCAGTGCCCGTGTTTAGCCTCAGTAATTTCCTCCTAACACTTATTTTTATTAGAAAAGTAATGTTACTGTAGGAAATTCAAAAATAGCTGAGTGATTTTAAACCTCTAGAAGCCAGATAACATTGTGTGTGTGTGTACTGCCAGCACGGCAACAGAGGTGGCAGGATCCGAGTACAAGCCTCTATAAACACCCATCCCCCAGCCTTCACAGCCCGGTGAGCCTGGGTGTGCCACAGTGCACATGTTGCTTTATTTAACCACTTGGGTCCTAGGGACCAAATAACTTAGGTCAACTGGTATTTTTTTGTTTGGTTTGTTTGTTTTCTCTGTCCTACAGATACAGTGTGCTTCTAGCACTTTTCTGTTTGCCTTAGTAGTTCTGTAATTGAAGCCCTCACCTCCAGGCCTCTGGTTTCTCTCCCCCCTTCTCTCTGAGAACATACTACCTTCTCCTCTGCCTCTGGATTAAAAAGCAAATGTTAGAAATTTCAGATGAGTATTTGAACCTAGTAAACATGAACTTTGAAGTGTTTGTGACTGGCTCTCACAGGCTGGCCTGCTCTCTGCCTTGGGCTCCCTGGGCTTGATGATCTGGCTGATGGCAACACCTCATAGTCATGAAACGGAGCAAAAAAGATTGGGACTTCTTGCTGGCTTTGCTTTCCTCACAGGTATGTGAAGAGGTTGTTGGGGACAGAAGAGGTTTTTTGTTCGTTTGTTTTTGTCTGTGTACAATTCTTTCAAAACAGTTCTTTTTGTAGAGTTTCCCTAAATTCTATGACACTGCTGTGATCTCTCTTTTCTGGTCTCCTTGATCTGTACCCACCAGTCAGTCACACACCCTTGAGCAGTTTTGTTTTGCTCTGTCCTCCTTCCTTGTTGCATATAGACTGTTCCTGTTTTGCATATAGAGTTAAGCACTATCTAACTAGTACTTGATAGCTAGCAACTATGACCTAAAATGGGTGTGGCTCGGATGAGGTCCGTGACTTTTTAAATGGTAGACATAAACTAAGAGTCTGGTTAAAAGTTCATTTCTTGCTGGGTGTGGATGTGCACACCTTTAATCCTAGCACTTGGGAGGCAGGCAGATGTCTGAATTTAAGGCCAGCCTGGTCTACAGAGGGAGTTCCAGGACAGCCAGGGCCACACAGAAACCCTGTCTCCAAAAAAAAAAAAAAAAAAGTTAATCTCTTTTAGAATTCTCATTGAAGAAAACAGATTGGAGCTATATAATAAAGTACTTTAAAATGCATGGGTTTCTTCTGTACAGTGTTAAGGAAATTTTAGAAAGGAAGAGATTTAGGATTTAAGACTTGGCTCAGGGAACACTAATTATTGGAGGTGTTGGGGGATTATCAGGGAGGAAATAGCCAGAGTAGAAAAAATGCTGGGTTGCTTGCCGGTCACCATGTGATTATCCCAGAAGACTGGTCTGACTGCTCTCACTGCAGGTCGCAGGTCACTCGCTGCCAGGCTCTGTTCTGTCCTCCCTGATGCACATTACAATCTCAAGGACACATGACATTTCTGCTTTTGTGTTGTTTTTCATTTTTATTCTTCCTTAAAACATCCATGGTTTTCTGCTAAGAGGACTGATATACCTTGAATTAACTCAGTTATATATTCTCTTGAAAATAAGGAAAGGGTTGAGTAAAAGAATTGCTTTGGTTTCTTTGTTTGTTTGTTTGTTTTTCTTTTTCGAGATGGTTTCTCTGTGGCTTTGGGGCTTGTCCTGGAACTAGCTTATAGACCAGGTTGGCCTCAAACTCACAGAGATCCACCTGCTACTGCCTCCCAAATGCTGGGATTAAAGGTGTGTGCCATTACTGCTCAGATTACTTTTTCTTTAAAATAAGAATGCATGCCTGTGATCAGAATCAATGGTAATTTGTTCTGGGGTTTGTTTTGTAGGAATTGGCCTGGGCCCTGCTTTGGAGCTGTGCATTGCTATCAATCCCAGGTAACTGTTTTACTGTGTTTGTGAATATGCCCTCTAAACAGACCGCATAGTTGGAGCTCTCCCTCATGGCCTTTTCTTTCACAGCATCCTCCCCACTGCCTTCATGGGCACGGCCATGATCTTCACCTGCTTCAGCTTGAGCGCGCTCTACGCCAGGCGCCGGAGTTACCTGTTTTTGGGAGGTATGGACTGGAAAGCAAGCCTGGGCTCTGCTCTGGTAGAGCTGTCAGTAGACCACCTTTTCTACCTTCATTTGGGGAGTCTTCATTTGGGGAGACAGTTAGAAATGACCTTAATGGGATCGTTTTTGCCCAGCTTTGGCTTTTCTCGTGACAAGGTTTGCCCTCTCTTGCTAGGCATCTTGATGTCAGCCATGAGCCTCATGTTCTTGTCCTCCCTGGGGAACCTTTTCTTTGGATCCATTTGGCTGTTCCAGGTGAGATTTTATACAGTTTCCAGGGGTCATTTGTTCCATTTTTCTCACCTAATTCTAAGTCAAAAGAGGTGACTCCTAGGCTTAGAGGGATGGCTCAGAGGTTAAGAGCACTGGCTGCTCTTTCAGAGGTCCTGAGTTCAATTCCCAGCAGCCACATGGTGGCTCACAACCGTCTGTAGTGGGATCTGGTGCCCTCCTCTGGCATTTAGGCTACACATAGGCAGAACATTGAATACATAATAAATAAATAAATCTTTAGAAAAGAAAAGGAGCCAGGCATGGTGGCACACACCTTAATTCCAAGACAGAGGCAGGCAGATCTGTTAGTTTGAGGCCAACCTGGTCTACAGAGAAAGTTCCAGGACAGGCTTCAAAGCTACACAGAGAAACCCTGTCTCCAAAAACCAAACAAATAAGGTGTCTTCTCTAGAACCCTCACTTTCTTTGGGCAGTGCTCTACAGACTTGAGGACCTTCAGACGACATGGCCTCCTGCCATGGTTAGACACTGCTGAGGAGAATTGACTTGCTCAGAGACTGTTTCTCTCAGTCCAGATTAG